CCCTGTGCGCGCCGCGCTCCTTGCTGGCAGCCGGGCACCCGCGCACTGGCGACCGGATTCCGTGAGCCTCGCCACCCGCATTTTCTCCTGCTGCCCGGGCTGCTGCTCAGGGTCGCTCAGGCCCGCAGCTGTCTCTGTGGCCCACTTGGTGGAGAATGAGATTCGCAGGATGCTGGGTGCTTAGGCAGAAGGATGAACTTTCCCTTCTCCCCTTCATCTGAGCCCCTTCCCCCAAATGTTCCTAAAGCAAAATCACCACCTCCCTCCCCTCCACACGAAACCAAACCCAAACTCCTACTCTGTTGGGGATCCTTGCCTCACCGCTAGTCAAGCGGGTGCCCCCTCTCCAAGTTGTGCCCCATATTTTACCACCTTTTAAAACTAGAAACACTGCTGGTGCTGTTGGCCCTGCGGAGGTTGTGCGGCTGCCCGAGGACTCCTGAGCGCGCGGACTGCCTGCCCCGGCGCAGACTCGGGCAGAAGAGTGTAGAGGGACTTGGGGGCCAGGCGCCGCCTTCCTGGATGGGACAGCTCTGGGTTACTGGCAGGTCGGTGCACTTCTGTGGTTTGGCAGACCCTCCCTTGAACTTCGCGGGCAGTGGTTGCAGGCGGAGGGTCTGGGAGGTCTGGTCGCTGGATGAGCAGCGCGTTGGTTCTCTTTCTGCTGTACACCTTCAAGTTCCTGGCAGCCCGTGGCATGGTGACGGGCAGCAGCCAGGTGCCACCCAGCCACATCATGTGCTTCGCTCGTGTTAAAATTGGCCTGCTTTTTCTGGGTGTTGGGGGAGGGGTGGGAAGAGGATGAGGTGTGAGCTGAAACGATCTCCACGTTCTCCAGCCCTTGTTGGTGTGATTATGTAACCCCAAGTAATGATCAGACCCTGTGCCCAGCAGCTCCCCACCCACCCCGCCCACCCTCCCCCGAATGAAGAAGTTGGGTCCCACGTTTAAGATGTTTAGGATGTCTTTATGTAACTATCCGTATGCTGGGGGCAGGGAGAGTGTGGAGAAGAGCGAGTCATTTGTGCATCTTATGTGAAGAACAGAGGCCAAGATCACATGTCCATTGGGGACAGGGTGCAATTGGCTTTGGGTTGGTGTTGATCCGAAGACCCTCCCACATCACTCTCACCCAGTGGTTTCTGGTCTGAACTTTCATGTGGTCATTTCACCCCTGCAGGGAGAAGGTTGCAATCACTCCTGCAGGAACCTGGGTTCCTAAGTAACAGAGAACATGAAATCGGAATCCAGGGTGACTCCCCCAGGCCCACTTGTTTTGGGTCCCAGCTGTTCTCTATGCTTCCCACCCAGGGGAAGAGTTTCTGCCCCACTGGGGTTTCAGTTTTGCCCTGAGGTTGGGGTACACTGTAGGCCGGAGAGCAGACCTCAGATGCTGGCCAGTATGCATGCATGACATATGCTCTTTAAAGCTGTGGTGACTTGCAGGGGCTGGAGCCCCTGTCCATTCTTGAATTAAAATTCTGTGGGATTTTTTTTCAAGGTAGGAGATCAGCTGTCCCATGGAGATATCTGCAGGCAGGAGGGGAAGGTGTGTGTGACATTCAGCTCTCCCTCTTCTTTTCCCCCACTCTGCTTTGCTAATGTACTCACAGGACACAGGACTATCACATGGGCCCCTTTGTCGTGCCCCTTAGTGCCTAGGGCTGCTGGGCAGATTTATTAGTATGGTGGGGAAGTCTGTCCCCTTCAGGCTAAGATTTTTTTTCTCTCTCAACACGCCAGTGGTTCTCTTCAAGGGCCAGCTTCTAAGGTGTGTGCCGGGCAGTGGATTAAGACGTGCTTAACTGGCACTGTTGTTGAACTGTCTCTGCCCATTGAGTTTCAGTGGCAGCGGAGAATCGTGTGCTGTCTTTGGGTCCTTGCCAAGTGAGTCATTGGGACATTTAGTGTGTGAAAGTTACAGGCAAGGAGAAGATGCACTTCCTCTGAAATCCTGGCAGATTCCAGGCCCCGACTTGATGGAAGATAACGTTAAGAAAACTGTGTGACAACTGGACAGTTTTAAACTTGTGGCTCACTTCCCCCGCTGTGAGTTCCCTGGTATCTTTCAGGTTCTTTTCTGCTCTCCATGCTGCCCATTAAGGAGGCCCTGACATGCTGTTTTTCTTTACATTTCCAGTGGAATCGAAGCATATTTACAGATCTACAGATGTGCTGGGCAGGCACGGCAGGAAACACTAGCTATAGGAACAGGTAGCACTGGTGTTTCCAGCTAGACTTCACCAAGACCCTTGACCAGTGCTGTTCTTTATTTGTGAAGTGGGTGTAATCATCATAGCCTTTCCAAACCCACTGAAATATGGAGAAGAAATTAGATGAGTTAAAAGGTTAACATGTGCTTTGTAGCTGATGGTTATTAGGCTAATACTACAACAGTATGGACCTCACATTTACATAATTTCACTAACCTAGTTGGGACCTAAGTTGTAAACCAAGAAAGATGCTGTAAGTCCATGAGCTACAGCTCCTGAATTTTGATCATTGCAGAAAATTTCATACCCTCTTTCAGGACTTTTTATTAGTGGAAAGTCTTAAGAGGCTTGGTTATTTGTTTGCCAAACACACCTAGCAAATTGAAAGATATTGATAACATACCATACTATGCAAGGGTTATTAAAATTTTTTTTTGGTCATGTGTCAGTAAGAAGTACTAGTAATGTAAGAAACAGAAAAACTAAAAAAAAAACTTTACATAAATTTAAAAGGCACAGGACTTCAGAGCATAGAATTTTAAGACTATTTAATGTAAGTATTTAATGCACACAAGTCATTGAAATTTTATATATTTTGATGGGTCTTCAGGGCCCATAATTACCAATATGCTCACAATGACCCAGATGTATAAAGAGAAGTTTCAATGACATTTTGTGTGTCCAATTTAAAAGGCATGAGAATTTGAAATATACCCAAAATGATTTCTTTCGCATGATGCTTAAAGGAAAAACTGCATTTATGCAAGATAACAGAACCCCCCGAGGTTTCTGGGCAGCCAGGGGCTTACTGATCAAAATTACATTATAACTATAAAGCTCTCTCACGTTGAAATTCATTGAGAAGTTTATGATCTCTTGCTGAATTTTAGCAGGGAAGTATTACACATTTGATGCTGCAGAAAATATTAAGAAGGAAACATGCAAACTTGTATTGTGACAGGAGACACACTTAGAGCCTTCCAACCTGGTGACTCTAACGCTGCAGTTGGAAGTGACACAGTGATGAAAAGATGAGAGGTCAGCCCCAGAGGCGTGCGTTTCTTACGTCAGTGCAGGGAATGTGGACTTCTCACTGCCAGTGTGCCGTTAGACAGCTCATCAGAAACACAAGGTCAAGGTGTCATGGCAACACCCTCATGCTAAGCTGTGATGTTTATTCAATTCAGACATTGTGCTCAAAACTGGAAGGGTGTCTGAGTTACAGGAGCAGTGCTTAGCTTTGCCTGACTCGCTCCCAGTTTGCTTACAGTTTACTCCAAAACAAAGGCACCAGGAAAAATAAAAGGAGAAGAAAGCGATTACTGACACTTTTTAAATATAATACGTATGTCAAAATGTGAAGTCCATAATTAAAAGTGGCTGAAGAATATTGCTCAGTTTCTAGCTGCACAAAATCGCATGTTTTGTTTGTTTGTTTGTTTGTTTTGGTACATTACTTGAAGACATTTTTGAAATTGCTAAGAAGAAACTGTCAATCATAGGTCATTGAATATGGTCAGAAATGCTCAGAACTATCCCAAGTTTACATAAGCAAAGGGACACTGGTGTAATAAGGTGGAGAAAAGGCTATTCTCTGAAATCCCAGGGGCTTGAAAGGTAGAGGTTGGTGGTGGGAGGTGACTCTCCAGAGGGCTGCCCTTTTGGGAGGGTAAAGTTTGAGAATAAAAGCGCTTGGGCCATACGTACGGTCTGTTGATGAAGCCATGTGTGAGAGATGTGATTCCTTGCCTCCTTTCCAAGTGTTACAGAATGCCAGGGGTAGCTGGCATCCTTGTGAAGAAAGGAGAAGGGTGGAACTTTACATCCAGGTGTGCAGTAGAGGTGAACTGAGAATACCCCTCAGATTGGGGGAACACAGCCAGGGATCTTGGGAACTCTCTGAATGCCATGGGTCCTTGAATTGAGGTTCACGGCCAACTTAAAAAAAATGAGTAATGTATGCAAAGAAGAGCTGATAAATAATAGAAAGATGGAAAAAATAAAAGCAGTGTTATACATCCATGACATGCTCTTCTGAGCCTCCGTCACCAAAGTTAGTCTGTTCATTCATTCATTGGACTTCTAGGCTTGGCATTTGATGCAAAGCTATCTTAAGATCAGAGGAGCTCTGATAAAAAAAAAGAACTGATTTAATTTTAATGACAGAGGAAATCTGAAAACCTCCTCAATCAAGATTCAACACTGTAGACCTTTGACATCCTCTAAGGATGCATCTTAAACCCTTGGCATATTCCCAATTTGAAAATGTGGATGTACTTGTGTAGGCTCTTGACTGCCTTCTGAATCAGGTTTCTGTCCAGAGAGAAGAGGTTCCCATGGTTATTCACAGACCACCAATTATTTGCCTTTTCAACTTGCACTCAAGGAAATAAAGTTTCTCTCACTTTCAGGGAGTTTCTGTTTTGCTGGTTGTGTTTTGGGATGAGGAACTTTGACAAGGCTCCCACGTGACTTGCTCTTGTG